AAATTGAGATTTATGCATCATCTGAAAGCCGAATATGTATACAAATGAATTTGTTAGGATAGAACAATATTTGGTCGAGATTCTGGAATCTGAGGGTGCAAAAAAAAATCTAAATATTGAGAAAATCATCTTTAAAGTTGTTCAAATGAAGTTCTTAGCAATGCATATTACTAATCAAAAATTAAGTTTTAATATATTTACAGTAGGAAATTTACAAAATATCTTCATGGAACATGATCTTTACTTAATATCCTAATGATTTTTGGCATAAAAGAAAAATCTATAATTTTGACCCATGCAATGTATTGTTGGCTATTGCTACAAATATACCCCAGCGACTTAACACTGCTTTTGTGCTCCAGGGTCACATATTAGCAGCATAACTGGTGTGAGAGTTTTGCACGCAAATGCACTCATTGGTTAATCTTGCAATCTGACTAGTGCTTTTGTTCATCTTGTGCATAAATGTAAAGTTGAAATCTTGCGTGTGCAGAGTTTCCAGAGCCATATGAACGGACTGACGCACCAGCAGAAGATGATGGAGATCCAGCACATGAGCAACGCGTGTCTCGTCACGCTGCTGCCGCGAGTCCAGGAGTCCCTGCAAGGAGCTCGCAGAGACGGGTCAGAGTTTCTGAGGCATTTATGCTTCACTAGCTTAAAGGAATCAGGCCATCCGAGTTTGTTTCTTCGTCAGATTTGGAGAAATGTAGCATTGCATCACTTGCTCACTGCAAGTGAATGGGTGCCGTCAGAACGAGAGCTGATAAAAACATCACAGCACTCCAGTCCATCAGTTAACATCTGGAGAAGACAGAAGCTGAAACTAATCCAGCATTAAGACGTTTTTAACTCAAATACGAGTCCATAATCCATAATAACGTGAGAAAGTGTTCTGGTGTGAATCAGGAGAAAAATCTGCACAGATCAAGCAGCGTTTAAACAGCTCTAAACAAATATGTGAGAGACAACAGCAGCAGATGCACTTTTTCACTACAGGAAGCGTTATGGATTATGGACTCATATTTTAGACATTAAAAAGGTCTTAATGCTGGATTTGTTTCAGCTTTTGTCTTCTCCAGATGTTAACTGATGGACTGGAGTGCTGTGGTGTTTTTATCAGCTCTCGTTCTGACGGCACCCATTCACTGAAAATTGATTTTTCCGGTTGGCAAAATTTTGGTGCATTACTAGTTAATATTCCAGAAAATAAACGACACGTCTTTCTTTCTATCTTTCCTGAAATGCACACACTTTAAGTTGCACGACTGAAAGTGCGCTCTCTCGTGTCGCAGGAGTGATTGATGCATCGGTTTGTTTCCGTGCTTCACCTTCTGAACTGTCTGCATTTCAATGCATTTCTGAACTGCGCTCTTGCAGTGAGAAGAGGCCGGGTCTGCAGAGATGGTGCTCCACCTGCCAGACGCACTTCACCACCAACGTCATGGAGCATCGCAGAACCAAGGAGCACAAGGTGAAAGCTTATGACTAGTCTGGATGCATGAAAGCTCCTAACTTAACCTCAAGCTGATGGAAGTCTGTGTTTGTGCAGCGCTGCAGTCGCTCGTCCAGCTCGAGCTGCACCGTCTGTAAGCTGCACTTCAGGACCCCCAGAGAGTTCGTGGAGCACATGCAGTCTCCGGAGCACAAGCAGCGAGTCCAGCAGGTGAGCTTGTGTCATGCAATAATGTTCGTGCATGGCGTCTGCAACATGCAGTTTCCACAGAATCTAATTTTAACTCGTCCTTTAGTTTGTAAAAAGGAATAAAAATTAATGTTTGCAGAAATGCGCTTACGATCGCAGTCTATAGGACAGGCACTGTAAAAAATGAGTCAAAGATTATTAGAGTATTTTTACCAGAAAGTACTATTTCAGTATTCACATTTAATTCATTGCATTACTTGCCATTTCTTTGTAATTATTTGTGGAATTTCTGAGTGAAAATTGTTTCAATGTAAATCCTACACCAATTCATTTTCATTTTAATTTTAGTTAAAGTTTTAGAAGTCTTGTGTGATTTTTATTTTTTTTGATAATTTTTAGTACTTATTTTTTATGTCTGTATAGTTTTTATAGATTTTTATTTCAGTTTTAGTTATTATAGTACATCAAGTTAAACTAAATTAAAATGAGAAATGTTGCCTTGGCAACTAGCTGAAATATTTTAATAATTATATTTATATTTATTTAATTATTATTATTATTATTATTATTTAATAATAATATTTTATTTCAGTTAACATTTATTTTATTTAAAATTAAAAAATGTTTTTTAAGTATTAATTTTTATTTCATTTTTAGCTTTAGTTAACTATAATAACTTGGGTGTAGAATAAATTTTAAAAAAGACATTAAAAATTGAAGTACTAAAATATCTAAAACTCAATAAATCAAAACTGATAAGTAAAACTAAATAAAAACTATATAGATATATTTAAAAGAAATATTAGAAATAATAATAAGAAAGAAATATTTTTTAAAAACTAATAAAAAAGACACAAACACACAAGAAGATTACTAAAACATTAACTAAAATTAAAGTGAAAACAGAAAATAATATTTAAAAAATGATAATGATTGATTGATGCTGTAGTTCTGTTTGTGTGTAAGCAGCTGTGGAAGGAGGCGGGTGAAGCTGGTGTGGATCAGCTCAACGCTGACATGTTTCTGGGTGAAGAGGACGGCGAATGCAGCGACGACGAGAGAGAGGAAGAGGAGAACGGGAAGGTGAGCGCGTCTCAGTGTTTTCTGCATGTGTGGTGCTGAGCTCACCTGACTCTCAATTTCAATTCAATTCTCTCTCTCTCTCGCTCTCTCAAATTCAAATTCAAATGAGCTTTATTGGCATGACTTGCACAGTATTGCCAAAGCATTGTGCATTACATGTATAAGGAATTAAACAATTATATAATACATAAACAAAACAACAATAGATATGTAAAATAATTAAGTAAATAAGTACATGTATACTTTTTTTTTTTCCACAAACAAGAAACAAGAAAAATATTAAAGACATTGTTTAAAAAAAAAAATAAAAAAAAAACCTTTGCACACCAGTACATGTAAGAAATGCTCTTGCTTCAGTTTTGTCCACTGGCTGACAGTCTTAGTTTGTGACAGGCTGATACATATCTTGCTGCTGTTGGGATCATTTTGGAATCTTCCCCTAAAATGTGGTTTAATTTGTCTGTATTTGGTAATGCCATAAAATGTGGTTTAATTTGTTGGAATTTGGGGAAATATGCAGCTCTAATGTTGTGATAGTAATCACAGTGCAGTAAGAAATGCTCCTCTGTTTCCAGCTCTTTCTGTGAGCACAGTGAACACAGTCTCTGTTCTCGCGGCTGCCATCTCTGTCTGTGTCGTCCTCTCTCTATAGCCAGACAGTGATCACTCAGTCTGTATATGTGTCTCTCTCTCTCTCTGTCTCTCCTGTAGGAGGGTGTGGCTGCGCAGATGGAGGTCACACTGGAGGATCTGAGCGAAGACGAGGAGTTCGACTCTGACACTGTGTACGGTGGGTAATCACAACACTTTTTTTACAGTACCAGTCTTTTATAGACCCTTGAACTCGAATAAGACGATGCACACAGCCGTATTTCATGTTGTTGCATTAAACGGGACATTAGGCCTTTATTAGTGGTACTAGCCTAAATTTTGAGCAAATAGATCTCTATTAATTCATGTGCACCCAAGCTCTCGTTTCTTCATAGTAAGATGGCAGTGATGCACAAAGGAAATGGGTTAGAGTATATAAAACTAGAAAATGTAATGCGTGAGCACGCAAAATATTCCCGTGCTCGTGTCAATCGTTTCTCAGAGGCATGAAAACCGTGTGCGTGCAAAAGTGTGTGTATGCAAGAAAATCAATGAAAAACCCCCTGAGAAAATCCTAATATTTACAGATGACTGTACTTTAATACCTGAAAATAATGCTCTATGAACCATGTATGTTAAATATGGTTTGAAATTTGAAATGGAAAATGTGCAGGAACCCTGTAATTTAAAACATAATAAAAATGAGTACGATGAGTTGTTTTTTAATGAGAATAAGTGTGTAGTTTAATTCATACATAATGACGATGCAACATTTTCACCCATGTTTATTTATTTATTTATAGTTATTTGAAATATTAAAGTGGACACTTTAATGTGCTCTTATGTTTATAATATGTGACCCTGCAGCACAAAAGCAGTGTTAAGTCGCTGGGGGATATTTGTAGCAATAGCCAACAATACATTGTATGGGTCAAAATTATACATTTTTCTTTTATGCCAAAAATCATTAGGATATTAAGTAAAGATCATGTTCCATGAAGATATTTTGTAAATGTCCTACCGTAAATATATCAAAACTTAATGTTTGATTAGTAATATGCATCGCTAAGAACTTAATTTGGACAACTTTAAAGATGATTTTCTCAATATTTAGATGTTTTTGCACCCTCAGATTCCAGATTTTCAAATAGTTGTATCTCGGCCAAATATCGTCCTATCCTAACAAACCATACATGCATAAATCTCAATTTTTAAAAATTTACACTTAAGACTGGTTTTGTGCTCCAGGGTCACAAAACCAGTCATAAGGGTCAATTTTTCGAAATTTATGACTGGTTTTGTGCTCCAGGGTCACAAATCGCTTTTGCACATTTAATTCGATGGGACGCCTCGTCTTTGACTCTATATGTCAACATCGTCTATTGAAAAACTAGTAATATTCTTGTATTCAGTAACTACAGGTGTTAACTATTATTGCACAATGGCTCTGCTTGAAAGAGCGAAACACGTTGTCTCCGTTTTATTCCAAACCCTAATGTTGATGACATTTATCAAATAGTGCTTTAATTTTAAGATGAGGCATTAAATATATAACGCTGTCTCTGGCAGGCTCGAGTTTCGTGGTGCCCGTCGCAGGCTTCATCTGTCGTCTCTGTGATCAGTTCTATCACTTTGAGTCTTCGGCTCGACACACACACTGCAAGACGCTCACACACTTCCAGAAGCTCAAGGTACGCTGAAGCTGTGATCTGTGATGATGCACGCTTCTCCAACAAACATTGTATATTGTATATGTATATTAATATATTATGCAAAGATTATTTATTCAGCTTTCAGACGATGCATAAATCTCAATTTCGAGAAATTGACCCTTATGACTGGTTTTGTGCTCCAGGGTCACAAATCGCTTTTGCACATTTAATTCGATGGGACGCCTCGTCTTTGACTCTATATCTCAACATCGTCTATTGAAAAACTAGTAATATTCTTGTATTCAGTAACTACAGGTGTTAACTATTATTGCACAGTGGCTCTGCTTGAAAGAGCGAAACACGTTGTCTCCGTTTTATTCCAAACCCTAATGTTGATGACATTTATCAAATAGTGCTTTAATTTTAAGATGAGGCATTAAATATATAACGCTGTCTCTGGCAGGCTCGAGTTTCGTGGTGCCCGTCGCAGGCTTCATCTGTCGTCTCTGTGATCAGTTCTATCACTTTGAGTCTTCGGCTCGACACACACACTGCAAGACGCTCACACACTTCCAGAAGCTCAAGGTACGCTGAAGCTGTGATCTGTGATGATGCACGCTTCTCCAACAAACATTGTATATTGTATATGTATATTAATATATTATGCATTTATTAAATACTGCAGTTTATAAATTAGTTTTCAATTCAGTTACATAATTTTGCTTATTTGGATTTATTAATATTTTGTGTACGTCATCCTGTTTCAGTTTAATTCTAGGGTCAGATTATCATTGCTTTGTGCCAGATAAACATTTCTTGCATAAATTATATCATCTAATCAGATAATCTTCTTATGGCTATTTATTAGCTTGATTTTAATTGAAGGTCAGCAGGAAATCAGAAAATCAGAACACGTGTGTTTGTGTGTGTGTGTTTGTTTGAGTGTGCGTTTGAGTGTGTGTGTGTTTGAGTGTGTGTTTGAGTGTGTGTGTGTGTTTGAGTGTGTTTGAGTGTGAGTGTGTGTGTGTGTTTGAGTGTGTGTTTGAGTGTGAGTGTGTCTGTGTGTTTGTTT